ATCTTCTCAAAGATCCCGCAGGCAATTTTTACCCTCTTGCGTTGCAGGGCCATCTCCATCTAGTGGCCTGGACTGTTTCAGGGGATCCTGGAATGCCGCAGGACTTTCGGAGACTGCTAGAGCACTCTTATGGGACTCATGGGCCCCCGGGACTAGACGCTCTTACCTCTCAGCCTGTGGGGATATTTATGGGATAATAATAGTAACAGTGAGAATTGCCCACTAATTAAATTCTCAGATCCCAAATATCGTTATCGTGTTAAGTGAGAAGTATTTCATATAAATAATCACAATGTTATAAAAATAGATTTATTTTATAATGACAAATTAATTAATAATAATATGTAACATGCGTGACAATAATCAATGAATATTCAGTATAAAATGGTATGCAATACAAAGGAATGGCTATACACGTTTCAATGGCTAAACAGCATTTTCTGTCAAGACTTTTGACGATTTATGACTATCCTTACACAGAGAGAAAGCGAAGCTTTTCACAGCGAAGGGCCATAAAACCCTGGCTAACAGTTAGAATAACCCTTTCAATGCTGGCTAGACCTCCTAGGTAATTAAGATCTATTCTTATGTAATTTTAAATAAAATAACATTTAAACCAGTTCATTAGTCATTTCCTGGAACCATCCAATAAGAGAATCTACCATGATTATATAAGCAGACTTTAATTTATCTAAAAGATATCTTATCTTAATTTAGAGCAAATCAATACACCTGGATAAAAACAGCGGTATGCTAACACGTGATAATATCACATCAATATATAATTATTCTTAATTCCACCTGCAGAATGGAATGTTTATAACTATATATCCTTTAGTTAACTAAGATTTCTTAATATGGAAATCTGACCGTGATTTATCCAGTCATATCATGCTATTAGTACATTTTAATTAATTTAATTAATTAAATGAAACCAGTATAATTACCAGTTGAGTAGATATTTCATCCGATTGGTAGATAATCTCAGGAACTTATTTGGATGTCTGTCTGCATTGAGTTATGGTGAAAGGTGGTGTTGGTTAGAAAGTCAGTGAAATTCTAAGTGTTAGAGTTTTAAGAGTAGAGTGTTAGTCTCAGATGTTGTCCGAGTTGGAGTCCCCAAACTTCCAATTCCTCTCTCCTCTTTTTCCTTTGCATTTTCTCTATCTTCCCTTTGTCCTAACTTTTAAAGGGCCAGACTCTCTGTACGTCATCAGTTGATAACCCAATAGAAGCACTAGAGGTGTGGTTATCTTCCAGATCGCAATTTAGGTATTTGGTCTAAAGAGGGCAGTCTTGTCCCACTAAACATACCTATCCAGGAAAGAGTTAACTTTTCTTGGTGGCTATTTTGACGTCATTTTGGCCTATCTTGATAGTGGCCATAATTTAAGATCAAAGGGTTTCTTTAAGTTTTGTCCAGACTATGTGTCTGGCAAATCTGAGTTTTGACCCATAACTTACAATGGGACCTTATACATATAGACAGTTAAATTTTATTATTTAATCTTCTCTGTCACAATTGTCTGGGTTTAGAATTGATCTATTTCATTAGCATTTTAGACAGTCTATCCAACCCCCTTTCTTCTTATCACTTGGTTTGTATATACTATGCATTCCTTTAGCTCTGGAAAAGTGGTTAGTTTTACAGATAGAAATCTTGTGTCTTTTTGTTAACTTGAAAATAACAAAATGGAGTCCGGTCTGTTCAGAGTGACTCAGAATATACACTTTTAGTTTCTATCATAACACAAGATGTCTGCCGATATAAATACCCTGACAAGCCTGGCGAGTTTGGCATCGCTGGTGCTTGGAAAGGTGTATTGATCCCGTTTCAGCTTCTTTGATTAACGTCATGAACTTTCTGTCCTCTCTTTTTGATCAAGGTAAATCCTACAGATCCATTAATGTGTTTCGTTCAGCAATTTCGGCAGCTCATGGCCCCATTGATAATACAGCAATAGGTAAACACCCCTCCATCTGTAGGCTGTTGCGTGGCATTCGTCTTGCTCGACCTCCTGTCCCAAAATATTCTCATTTTTGGGATGTTGCTCTTGTTTTGTCCTTCCTAGAGACTTGGCCACCCAATGAAGCACTCTCTTTACGACAACTGTCGGCCAAATTAGCTTTTCTCCTCTGCTTGGTTTCTTTTAGGAGAGTCTCTGATATTCAGCCATTTGACTTTCACGCTATTGAATTCACGCCCCAAGGTGTATGTTTCAACATTTCTCGCTGCACTAAAACTAATTCCTTAACGATTACTTACCCTTATTTTTCCGACAGACCGTCGCTTTGCGTTGCTCGTTGTGTCCAACACTACGTTGCCTCTACATCACCTCTACGTACCCCTACGGGCCCCCTGTTTATCTCATATGTGCGACCACACAAGCCAGTGTCTTGTCCCACGATTGCCCGCTGGATTAAATGGCTTCTAGATTCAGCGGGCATAGATTCATCTTTTGGCGCTCATTCTGTCAGAGGTGCTGCTGCCTCTTCCGCC